CACATACACCCCACAACACACAAGCTCACTCTTCTCAGTCCTTGGCCTCTGCCTAGAGATCTGGACCCACCCACTGGCTAGCCCAAGTCAGGTCTTCTTTAATTAGTGTCATTAATCATACAAAATAGTGGAAACATGTGTGCAATGTGCTTCCGTCATATGCACTGTTACCTTCTCCTTCTCCTGACCGTCTTCTCACTAATAAACTCTTATAATTTTTCCTCCAGTATGCACTTGAGAGAAAATGTGGCTTACTTTTCTCTTCTAACTTGATTTATTTAATTTAACATGATAATCTTTGGTCCTATCTGCTTTCCTTCTAATGATATGACTTCATTCTTCCCTTCCTTCCTTCCTTCCTTCCGTCCTTTCTTCTTTTCTTTCTGAGAAAGCCTCATGTAGCCCAGGCTGACCTCAAATTCACTAGGTAGCTAAGGATGAGCCAATTCTTCTGCTTCCACTTGCCAGATGCAGGAATTACAGAAATGTACCACCACATGTACTATTCACATGACCTTTTTATTTTATTTTATTTTATTTTATTTTATTTATATATGTGGGGATGCACATGAGTGCAGTGTCTATGGAGGCTGAAAGAGGGCATTAGATTCCCTGGAATTAGAGTTACAGGCGTTTGTGAGCCAACCTACATGGTACTGGAAACCAAACTCAGAACCTCTGCAACACCAGCGTGTGCTCTTGACTCCTGAGCCATCTCTTCGGGGCTTTCTGACCTCAGGAAGACGGTAGCAAGTCTCCTGAAAGGGGAACAAAAGGGCTTCCACAAGGAAGATATTTCCCTACTCAGATTAACTTTAGATGTTACTGAACAACATTTCTCAGCACACCCCATCTCCCAGAAAGTACCCTACTTGAGTGAATTAAATGTGCTTCTTCTGAGCCTGGCTACCTCAAACTACCTCTTCCAACTGGCTGGAGCAAACATGACCTTGATATCCCAGTGCTGTAGATGCTGGAGATTCAGCAGAACTGGAGAAGACCACCCACTCAGAAGAATTGAAGAAGCATGAACTTGGAGATGGGAGATCAGTACTAGGCCAGGTATTTGTTACATCCTCTTTGCTACAGTAGTTACTGTTGAAAGATTGCCTGCCTCTGCCTTTACCAAGTGCGGGGACTAAGAGCCTCACCCAGTAGATTGTAAGATTGTAGTTTTTTGGTTTTTTTTTTTTTTAATGAAGCACCACCCCCCTACCCTCACCTCCCACCCCCTACACAAATGTTGTTACATTAGCTGTTTGGCTATTGCATCAGCAATGTAATTACCAAGGCTTAGCTGGAGAGATTACTCCTAAGCAGTTTCCATAATGCAACTTACTAGCTAGAATTGGATTTATTTGTATTGGAGACACAGTCTCACTCTGTAGCCCAAGTTGGTCTTAATCTTGTGGCAATCCTGCTTCTACCTCCCAAGCACTGGGAATGCAGGCATGAGCCACTCTGTCCTAGTTGAGGTTAAGCTTGAGCTTGACTTTGCAGGCTAGGCGAGCCAGGGTTCCTGTGCCGGAGAACCTACCTCAGTAACAAACAGTATACTGTGTGCAGAATGCATTTATTGGGAAGGCATCTCTCTCTATCCCTCCTCTGCTCTCTGCCTGATGCATATTCTATGGAGAAGCTTAAGACCAGCCTGTTTCACCTGGCAAGGACCAGATGACACACTCAAATGTAGTAATGGAGGAAAGTTTAACAAATGTGCTGACTACAGAAGTGTGGGCTATGCCTATGTGCCACCCAAGTAACCGGGAAATCCCTCTCCATGGTGAAAACTACTTCCCAATGACACCTGGATATCCCCAGATCTGTCTCTCTGCTGCAGGTCCTAAGCAACCACAGGAGCAAGCTTAGCTGGTTGTGCTGAACTCAAGGCACCAAGAAGTTAATGGAAGAAGCTTCGAACAATATCAGAGGAGACTGGGGGGTATACATGCTTGCCTGCCATTCAAGGAGTCTGGGGTTTGGTCCTTGGAAATGCAAAATAAACACACAAGCACACCTGATAATGGAGGGGAGTGTGTGGTTATGCCTCTCACTCCCTGCACCCCCAGCTGGATTAACTGCATACCCTATCAACTGCCAGAGGTTGAGTCTTAGAGCTCAGCCTGGTCACCCACCTGCTACTGAGTTCTTTCACTGCCCTGTCCTTTATCTGCATCCCTCTTACTGTGATTCCTTAGATATCTTCATCTCAGGAGCTACATCTAGGAAAACCCTAATACCAGGAACATAGCTCCGGGAGAGCAGCCACACATGGTACAGTTCTTGGGATCATTGTCTTAGAGACAGGGGCTGGAGGGGAGCTTGGGGGGGGGTGTAGGGAGAAGGGGCCTACCAGAAGTTATGGCCTTGCCAGAAAACAGTTCTCTTTGATGACTTGGGGAGTGGAGGAAATAAGTGACCTGGTTTCTCCACCCTGTCACCTTCTGCCCCTCTGCCTGTGCCATGGGCAAAAGAGTCCTTGGTGTTGTGTACACCATGAGATTGCTTTGGCAGAAGGGAGGTTCATGTACCCATACTTGTAACCCACCACTCAGCTAATTTCCTGGAAGTTTGGCCCTGCCTAGATCTAGAAACTTTTCTAGGTCTGGTTAGGATGGAGCACACTGAGGTACGGAAGCTGGGGGGGGGGGTCTATGGCAGGTGAAGCACCTACCCCGAAACACCCACCATAGCTTTGCCAGCAAGGAATGTGGCCTGGCTCCACTGGGCACTGACTGGAGTCAGCTAGTCGGCTGAAGGGTGGCTTCACAGCACCTCAGATGGTGGGATTAGGGGTGGCTTAAAGGTGGGACTTGGTTCCACAGCCGACTGGACTAGCTGAACACAGACTTTTCATCAGTCATAGTATCTTCTGGTGGCTCAAATTCCCAGATAGAAAAACCAAGAGGCCCCAGTGAAAGTAGAAAGAGCCTCAAACCCCTTCGGATACTATAGTCTAGGCCTCCTCTGCCATATTCTACCAGCAAGACCTTCAGGCCCTCCCAGAGCAGGAAGCCAGAACCTACACTCCATCAGGCAAAGACAGGGCCAGCAAAGAATTGTCACTTTTGGTGGAACAGCAAGTCATCCCCATGGCCCCAGCTTTCTTTAACGTGCCGGACTGACTTTGGAGAAGGACTTGACAGTCATAGCCCAGACTCAGATATAGAGTCAGAACCAAATTTAAGTACCAGTACTCTCTACAACATGCTAATCTTCCAGGAATCCAGTGGGCAGTGCCCTCTTGCGGGCTAGGGGACTTCATCTGTAGACTGATAATGGTTCCTGCATCGCAGGGTGTGAGACAGATTGAATGGGATGTTTATAAAGTGCTACCACAACACTGGCCACCGAGGGTGTGACCACATGGGGTGGTGGTGTCACGCATCCAAAGTAACAAACCTTCCACAAAGCCACGTGTGTTAGAGACTTTTCTTTTTTGAGACAGAATCTCAATAGTTTCAGTAATAGCACAACATTGCCCTGCCTCAGCTCCCTGAATACTACGGTTACAGATACATATTACCATCCCTGTCTTAGAAAGACCATTTTGATCCAATCCATCCTATCCCTCACTCCCACATGCAACCCGATCCCAAATCCAAATTCTGTGGCTTACATGCAGCGTGGCTCTATCATCTGTCCCCACAGTCTCTCTCACCTGGATCCTTCCTGTCAGGGTGCCCAGGTGTCCCCACCTCAGGGTGCATGCAAGTTGTTTAAGAATCTTGCTAGAGTACAGCACCCCTGTCAAGAGTATGTTTCTAACCAGCTCACCTGTGATGTCAACCTAGGTAAGTTTCTAGACTTTGCAGCTGGAGGATTTTTTTTTTTTTTTTTTCCAAACAAAGGTTTGATGCTGTCCAGAAAGCACTGACAAACCTTTGCTTATTTTCCAGCAGACTCATGGGAAGGGACAAACCTCACTGTGAAACATAACATGATTCAGCTTCCACCTCACCGGTTTGGCCTCCGTCCTCCACTCTCCTACCTCCTCTCCCCCTCTTATTTATAGGTTTGCTTATTTACAGAGGAAAAGTGGGCATTGCATCTGGCCCAGTTCTGGGAGACTGTCATTAAACCGATGTTTCCATGTGCTCTGGTCTTCCCACAGATTTATCCTGTCCCACCCCTGGAATGGCAGTGCTTAGACTTAAGTGTATGTGTCCTTTGCTTTACATTCCTCCTCACTGATGCATACAGCTAAACACACATAATTTTGGTGTTGTTTTTCTATGTTCTAAAAGTTGACCAGCATGCATGAAGTTTTCTTCCACATATTCTTTCTGACCCCATTGGGTATTGTGTCTGCATACACCTGCTGTGCTTTGTAGCTGAACTCACTTTACTGTGCATAATAGTCCACGGAGCAGACAGGCCGGTGTGTTTCGCCCCAGAGTCATTGTGAGCATTCTGAATAGGTCTAGATACGTGGGCGCGTTTCTCCAGCGTAGCTGCCCTGGAAGAGATAAAGTCTGTATCTCTCTGTTCGCCCTTTGTGTCTCCAGCCACCCTGGTGTCCTTTCAGTTTTAGCTCCCAGGAGTCTCTCTCACACACAACGAATGTCCTCTGCATCCCACCTGCTGTCACACGGTGAGCTCCAGCCAGCGTTGACTCCACTATATCTCCCTAATTACACACTCTCGCCTTGGGGTTCTGCAACAAGTGGATCCTATCCCGCAGAATCCAGCCCCACGAGGCTCCTGGGCTTGGTGCCTCCAGCTCCGGCCTGCACACAGTAGGCGCCCAGGCAACAGTGGAAGCCTCGGTGCAGTAGGGGCCGGAAAGGGGCCAGGGCTTGGCTGGCGGGGACACTGGGTTCACGCCTTCTGGGGGCTCACCTGGGAGTTTTCTAGGTTGTAGCCGCCGGGAAGGTCTGGGGTCCACAATTCTGGGAAATGGGCGCCAGGCTGCAAGAGGGCCAAGGGCGGAGCCCGAGCTCTGGAAGGAGGAGGATTCGGTGTGGGCGGGGAATGGGCGGGACCTGCCAGGGCAGCCCGGTAAAAAAGAGCGTGGCTGTCTGCCTTCTCTGAGAGCCCTCGGGAAAGCGACCCTGCCACCGAGCCAGCGCGGACCCGGAGAGCTTCAGCGGAGGGAGCAACACCGGGGTGCACACTCGACACCATGGCCCAGACGCCCGCTTTCAACAAGCCCAAAGTGAGCGCGAAGGGGCTCTGTCGCCCGGGTTCTGCCCCCGGGCTGTCCCAGGGTTTAGCCGGGCCCAGCCGTGAGAGTGTTCGCCCTAGAAGCATAGGAGGACTCCCGCTGGCGTCTCCCCTTAGCCCAGGCCGTTGCTTGCTTCCGGGATGTCGAATGAGGGACGATATGGCAGGGAGCGTCCAGAACCTGGAGGTACCTCTGGCAGGCCTTCGGGTTTGGCTGCTGCCCATGCCCTGTCCACTCTGGGTCTCAACCTCGCTGTCTGCCAAATGGGCACCTAGTAGGTGGGGTTGCGCAGCGGTGTGAGCCTGGGCGGGTACCTAATGTATGAACCTCAGTAAAATGGGGCCCAGGGTCTCTAGCCGTTAAATGTTGGGTGAGTGGCTTTATACTTCAGTGTTATAATTGCTTTATTGGCACCAGGTAACTTGGGTTTGTGAATGCGCCTATGGGAACAACCTGTGATCCAAGCCAGAAAGGGAAGCAAGGAGGCAGCAGGGCTCTGGGGAGGAATTCCTATGCACCCTGGGCCTTTGGCCACAATGGGTTTGTTTGGGGTCATGACTCTTGACCCCAGTGGAGGACCCATTGTCTATGCCCAAAAGCTGTGGTTTCTTGGAAACAACAAGAGTCAGGGAGAGTCCTGGTCCCTAAGACCAGCTTTGCAGCCCTTACAGATTCTGTCCAGTGAGGCATTAGACCCAGCAGTCACCCAGGCAAATTGAACTGGTCAACTGAGTATAGGACTGAGGACTCAGGGAGGAATCAGAGACAGACAGCCTCAGATTCACCCATCCGAGAAACATGATGTTGAGTGGTGATGGCAGACATGATAAAGGCACTGGTAAGAATCCACTGTGTATGCTGTGCAACATATGTGTGCTCGGAGGGGGAGGGAGGAAGGGCAGGTAGACCTGCTCTTACCATAGGGAACTCACTCTGCTCCTCCTATAAGAAGCTAAAGTCTAGAAGGGCACGGCCCATCTTCCTGCCCAATCCAAGCCCCTTGTACATCTTGTCTGGTGCTCCTTATCACAGCACTCCTTGCCTTTGAAGGCTCTTCTCTCTGTCTCTCTTTCTCTTTCTCTCTTTCTCTCTCCCTCCCTTTGGTGGTATGAATTCTCTCCACCCTTGGTCAGGGGAACCACCTCCCCTGATGGGAGTGATGGAAACTAAAGATGAATGGCAGATCATACTTGGTAGCACCTACCCTTTTGTAACTCTCTGCGGAGAGTGCTAATATATCATGATCCCTGATATTGTCACCAGGGGAAAAGGACTTCGTTGTTAGGTCTACTAGCACCAGTGCCCAAAAGTTAGAGGGTAATGCTTGAGCAGGAAGGTAACATGTTGGCTGCTGCGTCTGACTGTGACAGGTCTTATGTCATGGTGAGCGAGGAATACTGCTGTTGCTGGCAGAAGTGGGAAGGAGCCACTGTGATCAGAGTCTGGGCAGCCTGTGTAACTTAGGGCCACCAGTGGAAGCTTACTGAGGGGCCAGCCCCCACACCATAACTGCACACAGCCAGCCCATCCTGGCAATGATCTTGTGAGGTAGTGGGTTCTATCTCCATATACAATTGCAGAAATGGGTGCAGAGAACTTAACTAGGAGATAGGCAAGCTGGGAGAAGAGCCCACAATGACAGCTGGCTTCAAATTCCCATCTCCTAAGCCAGGCTTCATGGTGCACACCTGTAATTCCCAGTATGTGGAAGGCTGAGGCAGGGTTTTTTGTTTTTGTTTTTGTTTTTGTTTTTTTTTTTAATAGTTCCAGGCCTCAACTGTATAGCAAATCCTTGTTTTGGATGAGAAAGCAAAACATAAAAGCCAGAAATTTCATGTCCCTGTCTCTCCTGGGTGATTTCTGCAAATGCCTTGGGGATGAGATGGCATCTCACCTGAGTTAGGGCCCTTTGCTGAGTTCTTTGAGCTACCACCAACTGGGGCTTGGACAACTTCAAGGTGAGCTGATGATACCTTTACCTTCCAGAGCTTTTGTTTTGCATTGTGTGTGTGTGTGTGTGTGTGTGTGTGTGTGTGTGTGCAGGCATACATGCGGAGACCAAAGAACAACCCTGGGTGTCAGTTTTCACAATCCAGCATGTTTGAGATAGGGTCTCTTTGTTGTTCACCTCTGGAACACCAGACTAACTGCCTGTGAGTTTCCAGGGATTCTCCTATCTCTGCCTCACATTTCACAAGAGTAATAGTGGGGATTGCCGACATGAGTTATGGTGCCTGGCTTTCCTGTGAGCTCTGTGGATTTGAACTCAGGACCACACACTTGTATTGCAAGCTCTTTACTCACTGAGGCATCTCCTCAGCCCTGCCTTCCAGACTTAGATGTGCACTCATGTAACCTGGCTTTAACTGTGCAGGCTGAGACTGAGGACATTGGGTGGGGTAGAAATACTGTTGTCTTGACCCCAAGTAGTGTAACACTGCTGGTCCACCAGCATGCTTGGAGGAGCAAGAGCCTAGGCACCTGCTACCTGCTTTGAGTGCTTGCTTCCTAAGTATTGCTGGACACTGAAGAGGTGTGTGTGTGTGTGTGTGTGTGTGTGTGTGTGTGTGTGTGTGTGTGTGTGTGTGTGTACACCAGTGACCCTTATCACTTCATGCCCACTTGAAGCAGGGGTTAGAAAATCCCATGGCTCCAGTTGCCACCCTGTGTTAAAGGTCCTTGTTGGCCTCTGCCTCTGGTTGTGATAGGAGCTGAAGGTCTTTGGACTGGTCATGGGTAATGGGAAACTTTAGCAGCTTCATTCATAGAACCCTGAAGGACTGTACAGGCAGCTCTCAGCATCCCATTTGCAAGTGGAGTTGTCTGAGGACCAGAGAGGAGAGGAAGCTTGCTCATAGCTGTGCTATCTGTGCATTTCACATCTTAGACTTTGAGAGAACTGGTCCAGGCTGCAAAGGCTGTTTCTAAACCAGCCTTTCCTCCTGTGAAGGTTCATAAGTAGCATGATCCCGGGGCACCTTTGCTCTCTCACACTTGGATGTGTGTATGTTCTGCACTGAGTGCGGTTTTAGCTGCTTTGTATGGATTAAGTCATATTTCATTTGCAGCAGCCTTCCGGGACAGGCCCTGTTATTTTCATTTACATAGGAGGAAACTGACTCAGAGAGGCAAAGGAAATTGCCAAAGTAGCACGGCCAGAAAGCGGCATAGCTGGGCTACAACTCAGACTGGCCTAAAGCTGAAATAGGTGCTATTAACTGCTTTGCTAATTAATTTGTCATTTTTCTTTTGCGGGGGAGAAAGGAGGGAGCGGGGATGTTACAGGTCAAGGACTTAGAATCAGTGCCTTGGCCTTCAGACAGACTAGGATAGAACCCCTGCCTCTCAGATTGGCAGCCATCAAGTCCTCAGGTAAGCAGGCCCTGAAACTCAGCTTCCTTCAGTTAGCTGAAGCAGAAACAGCTGTTTCGGAGCCTTGGGGAAACCTACTCCCCTATGGTTTCCGTGACAGTGCCTGGCTCTGAAGTATGTGTGTGCTTCCTTCTGTGGGTTCCAAAGGGTGCTTCCTGGACTCTTGGGTTACCCTCACTTCTGGTCTTGAGCAGAAGTGTCCTTCTTTGGGTTCTTGGTATCTTTCTGTTACCAGAGCCACCTGTTAAAATGAAGCTACCCCAGGGAAGAGCCTGTCTTGCCTGTTTAGATTCGTGTGACAGTTGTTGGGGAGGGGACAGATGGAGATTTGGTTTCATGGAAGTCTTTGTTTGACAGAGCAGAATGATGGGCCAGAAAGACGAAGGGGTCTGTGGTCACACAGGGAGGCAGGGAGGCCAGCCCTGACTCCTGATTTCGTATCCTGGGAGGCTGCCCTGCACACTGGGAGAGAACTGTTCACCTGCCTAGGTGTCCCGAGAGAGTCCTGTGGTGGTACCCCTTGGAGTTGGGGAAGGCAGCACTGTGGGTAGCCTTGGACAAGGGTATCCCAAAAGAAGGTTGAATGCTGCTATATTTATCAAGGAGCTAGGGGTATGGGTGGCCCATGCCTCAGTAGCTGCAGGGTTAGATAGCACTGTGAGGGTCAGGGCCAGGCCTGCACTCTCTGAGTTCTACTCTCCCACTTAATTACTGGAGTTAAATAACTTCACTGTGCTTTAGTTTTCCCTGTTAAACAGGAATTAAACCTGTACCCATCTCGTAGACACCAAATGTGAGCTGCTTAGTGTGGGAATGCCACTGATAGCCCCTGTGTATAGAGGCCAACATCACCATCATTACTAGCATCCTGGTCACATTTTCCTTTCCTATGCCTAGCACCTTGCCTTGCAGGATGCAAAAGCTCCTGGCTTTAGGTTCATGCAACTTCTTGGCTCTGGTGTTCATTTGTTTGTAATACTGTTGTGACCTAAGGCAAGCTCCTCTCTGAGCCTCAGTCTTATCACCTATAAAGTGGGAGAAACGGGCTGCATTCCTACACTGTTGAGTGCTAAGATTTCCCTCAGGGGGAGATGCTTCCCGTTGGCTGGGGAACTTCTGGGGTGGCCCATGAATAGCAGCAGAGAGCCCTGCCAGGCCCCAAGGCTGCAGAAAACACCCAAGGGCTGCCTGACTCCTTCCAGTCTGTACCTTGGAGCTACAGGAGCCCAGAAAATGCTGAGCTGAGCTTGGAGGGCTTCCTGAAGGAGGCAAGGCTGAGATAGTTCATTGGCCTAAGCCTACCTTGTTTGTTGGTTTCATCTTAAAAGTCAGCCAAGAGATGGTGGGGCATGAGGGGCTGACCCCTGACCCCTGCTCCACCCAAGCCATTGCTAGGATGAGGTAGGAAGGAGAGATTTGGGCTGGCAGTGGGCACCTGTAGCTCCTCTGGGTTCTGGCTATGGTACTCAAGACCAGGGCCTGGCTGCTCTGTCCCCCCCCCCATTCTCTGTCAGATCTGCCATTGCTGACATTAAGACTGGACAGGGAGGGGGCAATCAATGACCGTCAATAAACCAAGAGCACATTTTTCTGTGCCAGGTGCTTTACCAGGCATCTAA